CCCCGGTACCTCCGCCCCCCGCCCTAAAGACGCGGGACCAGCCCTGCCGCCCCCGCCGCCATCTTACCCGCTCGGCTCCGCTGCGGGGGCGGCGCCGCGCGCGGGGCCTCACGGGAGCCGTAGTGCGGGGGGTGGGACTACAACTCCCAGCAGCGCCCGCGCCGAGGGGGACCAATAGGAGCCGTAGTACAGGGGGTGGGACTACAAATCCCAGCAGCGCCCGCGCCGCGCGGCCCCAATAGGAGGGGGGGTGGAGAACTCCCAGCAGCCCATGGGGAGGTCGGGGGCGCGCAAGGGCCGCCGGGAGCGTATGGCAGGCGGTTGCTAGGAGACGGCGGCGATGCCTTTCCGGCCCTTCACGCTGAGTAGAGCAAGGGGGCGGAGCCAGGCAGTCGAGCCCCGCCCCCTCCCGCCGGGCACAGCGCCTTGTATGGGCAGGGGGGCGACCCCCCCCCCCCGCCATGACCCCTCCCCCGGGATCCGCCCCCAGCCCCCCCCACCCACCCGGACCCGCTCTGGGCTCCCCACTGCTCGAATAGAGCCGAAACAGGAAGTCCCTCCCCTGGCGGCCATCTTGGGCCTGCCCACATCCGGGAGGGCTGCCGCTAGGGGGTGCTGTGAAGCAGCTCCAAACAGGAAGTCCCGCCCCTACGGGCAGCCATAGGAGTTTGATCGTGACAGGAAATCCCGCCCAGGCTGCGCCTTTGGCCCTGCCACAACAGGAAGTCCCGCCCATGTTGGCCATGTTGGATCCGCTCTGTACCATTGTCATAGGCCGCAGTGGCCATCTTGGATCCAGAACAGGAAGTTCCACCCCAGTGGACAAGGGTGGCCATCTTGGATCTAAAATAGGAAGTCCCCCCCTTAATGGCAGCCATCTTGGATCCAGAAGAGGAAGTCCCGCCCTCGTGGGCCACAGAAACCCTCTTGAAAGCAGAGAAGGAAGTTCCGCCCCCTTGGGCCAAGGCAGCCATCTTGGGTCCAGAGGAGGAAATCCCACCCTTAGTGGCAGCCATCTTGGATCGGGATCAGATAGCCCCACCCCCTTGCACCATAGAGGCCATCGTGGACCGGAACAGGAAGTTCCACCCCCTTGGGCCATGGCGGCCATCTTGGATCCAGAACAGGAAGACGCACCATAAAGACCCTCCTCTTTTGTGACCCCTTCCAGCCTGTAAAGACTCCCCCATGCACCCCCCCCAGCTATCAGAGCCCCCCCTTATATGAGACCCGCCTCGTGCAAGCCCCGCCCCTCG